AAAATTCATCAAGTTTTTGTTCGCCATGGCTGTAAATGGAGAATACGTCATCAATATAACGCCACCAAATTATTGGTTTAAATTTGTAATTATTAATGAAAGTTGATTCAAAATTTTATTGCGAAATAGGAGCACTATTTATCAATCTGTAATAAAAGACGTGAGGAAATTCTGTCTTAATAAAAATAATATACCCAAAATACCCAAAAAGAAGTTGGTAAAAAATGAATCCGCCTCAACAATATAAAGATTAAAATCGTGGGATTTGCAGGCAACATGTTTTCGCCCGAAGAAAAGCACCATAAGGGCCACGAGAGACTAGCCAAAGGCCACCAGAAGACTGAAGACACTGCGGCCGTCCATCCGAATCTAATCAGGAACAGCAGACAGTCCAACTTTGATGTAAGTTATCCGGGCAACATTTCCACATAAATCTCTTCGCTGAATGTTAGCTAACTTTGAACGTTTTCACCTTTGTAGATCAACGATGAGGACGAAGAAGAAGTAAGTGTTGGCGCAGCCTTCGGCTGCATTTACTAATAGTTTTGGTTTCCATTCAGTTAATGATTAACCGACTTGAGGTTCTGATATTAACCAACTTCGGCTGTGATATTAATCGTTAATTTTCATTTCTTTCTGGTAATGCGCGTGTTGAATTCAATTCTAGGATTTAGAAGATTTGTATTACGAACCCGGTCCGGTTATACCCGACGTAAGTCTTCCTTGATGTTGTAGATATCGGTGTTGCGCTGCACATTTTTAGTTGTTTTCCCGTCAAAATTTCTTTCGATTTTCATTAAGGTTTTCACTTTCCTAGGGGCAGGTCGAAGACGATTACGACACGGAAAATGTAAGTTCTTGCCATTTTTGGCCGCTAAATTTCGCTAAACCCCCTTAATTGGCATTCTAGGGACAATACGAGGATAAAAATGATGAGTTTGACGATGTAAGTGTGTGTAACACGAAAATTATCAAAATTGTAACTTTTCCACCTTTGTTAGCCCTTCGGGGATTTCGATGGAGTGGGGGCGCTCAATCTGAGCCACGCAGTAAGTTTTCTTGTTGTCCAACTATTGTGGAATGCTCATTACTGCGACCTCGACTATTGGTGTTAACTTTGAGGGCAAACATCGCAACATTTCAGGGTCGTTCATTTGGCTCAAAGATCAGAAATCTGGGTTTATTCTTCGGTGGTTCTTTTCTGTCTGTACTAATCAGCATGCAACTTGGTTACAAGCAACTCACCAGTTTACCCTAATAATTGTATTAATACCAGTTACCATTGGCTTTTCTAATACCAGACAATTTTTCACTGTTTTTTGCTCCATTCACTAATGGATTTTTGTGTTTTTTAGAACCGCCTGGATGAAGGACCTGGGTAAGTTCGGCTGCAAAAAAACATCCAAATATGCTGAAAAAATCCTTCCTTATAGGCTGGACGATGAAGATGGCTTGGGCTCGGGCATGGATGGATCCGGAGAAATTTCCACTGTTCCAGTTGGATTCTCTCCAGTGGAATCGACAGGGTCCCCTATACTTCAAGCCGTGCTGCCCAGTGCTCATCCCAGTAAGTTTTCCTTTCTAGGTTTATTAAGCGAGGTTTAGAGAAACGTTCATGTTACGCCGTTAATGTCAACAAAGGCGATCTCAGTTTGCAACTTGAAGCTTTAAGATTTAAGCTTCGGAGGATTTCCTCCCAAAAACCCTCCTGAGACCTCGTTTTGAGCGTTTCAACTTCAGAAGTCTTTGAAACGGCCGTAGATCGTCAAAGTGCTAGTTCCAAAGCTTTAACTATCCAAGCGCTGTCTTCAGAAGGGTCAGGAGGCTTTTCTAGGAAGGATGGGGACCTATTTTCAGAAGCTTTTCCCATATTGTTTTCCTGGTTTTTCGAGGCCTCAAATGAGGCTCAAGAAACTATTAGCTTCGCAACACCGTTTCGATGTTGCGTTTTGAGGTTGTGAGCTTCTGAAGCCTTTGAGACACGCCATCGTAGACACAATTTTTTAATAACTGTCTTTAGAAGCTTCAGATGAGACTTAAGAGAGTGTTTGTTTCCCAAAACTGTTCTGAGCTCCCAACTTAAGGTTCAGAACGATTTCTCTTAAAACATGCGGATTCTTCAACAGAACCGAAAATATTCAAAGCGCGCGTTTCAGAGCTTCAAAGACCCCAGCCGTGTTTTAAAAAGCTTCAGAACACTTTTACGTGCTTAACATTCGGTTTTTGAGGCTTTGGTCGATGTCCTAGCAAGAGCCTTTTTCTGTTTTTTATCACTAAAGACGCGTAAAGGCACACAGGCTCTAAGGTGGTGTTAAGGGCTGTCTTTAGAGGCTTCAAATGAGTTTCCAGGGGCTGTTTGTCCCTCAAAACTGTTATGAGCTGATAGAACCCAAGCAGTGGCTTCAGAAGCTTCACACAGTTGTAACTTGCATAAGACTCGGTTTTTTCAGCTTCAGAAGTCTTTGAAACGGCTGTAGATCGTCAAAGTGCTAGTTCCAAAGCTTTAACTATCCAAGCGCTGTCTTCAGAAGGGTCAGAAGGCTTTTCTAGGAAGGATGGGGACCTATTTTCAGAAGCTTTTCCCATATTTTTTTCCTGGTTTTTCGAGGCCTCGAATGAGGCTCAAGAAACTGTTAGCTTCGCAACACCGTTTTGATGTTGCGTTTTGAGGTTGTGAGCTTCTGAAGCCTTTGAGGCACGCGATCGTACACACAATTTTTTAAAAACTGTCTTTAGAACCTTCAGATGAGATTGAAGAGAGTGTTTGCTTCCCAAAACTGTTCTGAGCTCCCAACTTAAGGTTCAGAACGATTTCTCTTAAAACACGCGGATAAGAATCCGCGTTAATGTTGTCCGTTGAAGACAACACAACCGAAAATATTCAAAGCGCGCGTTTCAGAGCTTCAAAGACCCCAGCCGTGTTTTAAAAAGCTTCAGAACGCTTTTACGTGCTTAACACTCGGTTTTTGAGGCTTTGGTCGATGTCCTCGCAAGAGCCTTTTTCTGTTTTTTATCACTAGAGACGCGTAAAGGCACACAGGCTCTAAGGTGGTGTTAAGGGCTGTCTTTAGAGGCTTCAAATGAGTTTCCAGAGGCTGATTGTCCCTCAAAAGAAGTCCCTCAGAAGCTTCACAGGGTTGTTACTTGCATAAGACTCGGTTTTTTAGGCTCTGAAAGTACATTTTCTATATTCGCTCAAGAGCTATCATCTATTTTATCGGTAGAAACGCTTCTAACGCGCTATTAACGACTTTAGAGGCTTCAATTGCGAGGCTCAAGAGGCTGACCGTTCTGAGGTTGCATCTTGAAGCTGTACGATGCTTTTAAAATAACCGCAAATTTTCAAAACAGCAGACTTTTCCAATAATTTGTTGAGACAATCGGAATTCTTCAGTCCAGCGCTTTAGAAGGCTTCAGAAAGCGTTCTGAAGTGGCACTTGGATGTTGGACTATAACAGACGATAGCTACATTTGGCAAAAGCTTTCTACTATTTTAAGTCAAGAAGAATGACCAGAGGCTCTCATTGATCGTCAGAGCTCTAGTGAGAACCTCGGAAGATTGAAGCTTTACCCTCAGATGCGTTTCTTATGCATTAAACTGTTTATATATATAAGAAACTCCAGTTTCTTCTTCTTTGGACTTCACTCACCTCTTCCTCGCTATCATCTTCTGATCAATCTAGTTAAGGCTCATCTTTTCCATCCTTAGTTCAACTAGTTTGACTCACAGTGTCAGTCTTGACTCTACCTCAATCTCATTCACATTCTTCCAGTTCCTGTTCAGTTTCAGCTGCGAAAAACTGGAAGACTTCAATCTTCAGGCCCAATTCTTCAATCTTACCTCTTACCGAAATGTTCTTTGTCCTTCTAGAATACTACAGAATAATCGTGACAGTGGAAGAATACTACGCCGATGAGTTCCATGATAGGATCAGCGAAGCCTTCCATCAGCTCGCCTCCAAACTTGAGGCCGGAGTGCAGGAACTGTTCCAAGGCAAACCGGGCGAGCAAATAGCAACAGTGATCTCGATTGAGTGAGTATTTTGCGAAAGTGGGCCCTTTGAGGCAAGTTGTTAATGTTTACAGGCAGAAGAAGGACGATCTGTTCAACGTGCGGGCTACAATTGACTTGGAGTCCAAGGGATGGACAGACAACGATGGCATCAACAAATTCATCTACGACAAGATCCAGGATAATCGCAAGTTGGGCGAAGTGACTGTTTCTCCTGAGGACTTCGTTTTCACTTCCTTTGAAGGTACTTTGTTCCGTCGCTTTCAGAGTCCTCTGAAGGGACCATACAGGGGCCATCCAGTTTTTTAGTTCCTTTTGGTTTATTTGGGTTTTTTCAATTTTCCTATGTAGAAGAACAGCCCAAGTGCGAAGAAGGCCAGGTAATGTGCCTTAGCAGGCAATGCGTAAGGGGGGATGCTCGTTGCAATGGAGTTAGGGACTGTAATGACAAATCGGACGAGGAAGGTTGCCCCACCCCCACCTTCACCCCTGCGCTAGGTACGGTTTGTTTTTTGTTTATTTTATGTTTTCTTACTTGGAACCTCGTCCACTTTGAATGAATGAACGCAGAACCCGCGTTCGAAACCGTCACCGTTCCCTTAGCAACCAGCAGCCTTTTTACCACCATCCCCACCACCACCACTACCACCACCAGCACCACCACCCCCACCACAACCACGCCCACGCCGGAATTCGGCAGTGGGGATGGTGAGGAGCCGGAGGAACCCATTAGGGCGGACGATGTTTTCTCGTGCGAACACGGCGATGGAAAATATTACGGGGATCAGAAATGCGATGGAACCAGGGACTGTAAGGATGGTTCCGATGAGGCCCACTGTTTTGCACCGAGTAGGTTCCTATCTGTCGTGGTGTTGGCTATCAAATACTAATCAAGGGTTGTGGTTTGGTCAGTTCTAAATGGTTGAGGCGAATTCATTTTGTCATTTCTTGGGTATTTTGCCTCAAAATTTTTATCTAAGTTGTGGAAGAGTTCTATATTGTTGAGG